AAATGTATGTTGTAGAAAATATTCCATGAAAAAAAAAGTTGTTACACGAAATTTACTTAGTCTCAATTTCTTAAATGAATAACAAAATTCGGAATTTTCAAAATGCTAAGGCTCTGCCAATTTTCAGTTTAAGAAAAAACCAGCCGATAAGTTTGAAGCTTGAGTCATGAACAATAAAACTTATCGCTTAAATTTTTTAAAATGATATAATTTTTTTTTGCTTTAGTATTTTGAAGTTGACCAATTGTTACTATTAGCAATTAATGATTATAGATGATCTGCACCGTAGCTGTTTTCTTCTTCACTACCAAGCCAGGTACGTATCCAAAATTACTAAATAAAATTTATTAAATATTACCTTACTAAAATAAAAGAAAAGAAAAGAAATAAAAAATAAGAGAAATAATTATGTACAGGATTAGAATGAATTTATTGTTAGAGCTAGATTTATTATCATTACAAAACAAGGACAAAGTACAAGTTTGTTATTTGTTAAATTATTATACGATTTTTATGATAATGATAAAGATGATTAAGATGATACATGAAGTTAAACAAATTACGATGTTATTTATGCATGTTAAAGGTTTTATCATCTAGTTCTCGGATTTCTTTGAAATCCTAATTTATCCTAATCAAATGTATTCCTTAAACGTTATTTGAACCTTCCGTGTAGAATTGTTATCAAGTTATTCCGAGTCTTAATCAAGTAATTTAAATTCCTTCGTTTAAATTTTCGGGTCATCCTATATACAGAAAGGTTCTTTTTATGAAATATACAGAACCTATGTGCCCAAATAAGAATTTATTTTTGAAGTTGGTAAGCAGTCCATAATTCCTACCACCCAAGCCTCACAAGTTTAATCGTCACATATAGATAACTGTCACGAGGAAGTTACAAAAATTTGTGCTATTTCCTTTTTTATATAATGAATTGCCATTTTTGGTAGGTCCTGTATATTCCGTAAAAAGATCCTTTCTGTATATAATAATAATATTTTCCCTTCTGTTATATAGGATATTCCTTAAAATTTAATTAATATGAGAGTTACATTTTAGTAGAATATTTATTTCTCCGTTATTTTCCGTGCAAATGCAAATTTTATAAATTAAAATCATTTCTGATTTATTTATTATTATTGATTTCCGTATAATCATGTATTTTTCCGCAAAAACTATCAAAATCAATTTCTAAATAAGGATAACACGCGTCCAACCCACCAATAAAATTGGATATTTTCATGGTGCTGCGCAAATTTGCGGATTTTTTTTGCGGAAAAATACATGATTTTATTTTCCGTGATATGTAAAATTACTATTTTACAATATTCATTTTTTAATATATACTATATATTATTACTAATTATTACTTTATATATAGGATTGTATAAATAATTCACAAATAATAATTGCAGATATCACCAAATCTATCAGACAAAAAGAACTTGGTAAAGGTTATGTTACAGATTCAGATGGTAATGAATCAGAATTTAAACACGAAACTGTAAATATGTAAAAAAAGGACAATGAGAATAGTGATATAAAAGTTCATAATGGTCTATTTGATGATTATAATACTGAGAACTCATAATATAATAATAGTAATAATAATAATAAATTTGATTATATTAAAATAATAGATTATACTTTATTGCTATTATTACATTAATATAAATTGATAAATTTGTATAATTGCATATTGATTTTTAATGTGGTTCAAAATAAGCATTATGTAATTTGTATCATATAAATATAGAAGGATTCTCTAAAGTAAATCAGGAAATCTTTGGGATATTTTGTCAGAGGCTCTTGGCAGATCTTTGTGGAAGGCAAAGGTTCCTTATTAATAAAAATATGGGGAATCCTTGAACTCAAAAATTTCCTTGCTAATTCTTTGTTTGTTGGAATTAGAGTTGCCCGATTTGCTAAACAAACCTCTCTTTTTATCAGAGTAGTTAAAGATTTTCTCTTATCTAATGACATTTTAAAACAACGTAACAAAATAAATTAATTTAGAACTTGAATTAGGTGGATATAAATCAAGAAAATTCAATTATATGAGGATCAAAGTTGATTTTTTAAAGAGAGAAATCAGATTTAAATGATCATAAGTTTTTATTTTAAACAATGCAAGTTTTTTTATTTTGAGATTTTTATTTAGATCATGTGAATCCATTATAATAAAATGCGGGCCGTCCAACATCACTAGGTTTCGATTCGAATAAGGTTTATCCGAATGATTTATTTTATCCATTATGAATTTGGTTATTCGAAATAAATACATTGAATGTTTATTTGAATAAAACGAATAACTCGAATAACTCGAATAACTCGAATAAATGGAATAAAGCGAATAATTTGAGTAGGAATTTGTGTTACATTAATGACGATAACAAAAAAGTAAATTTACAGTTGCACAATTCATTTAAATAATAAATATAAATCAAATTGTTTAAATTATTTACAAGTTCGAATCAGTTTGAATCAAATCAAAGATTTGATGATTCGAGTCGGTTTGGATTCGTTGATTCGTTCGAAGTCTTAAACGAGAGTGCTTTGTAAATCCTCAATTCAATTATGTAAATAGAAATTCTAAAGAAGTTAGGTGAATGAACCGTAATAGCTTATGACATTAGGAATCTCTTCTCCACAAAACAATAAATACCAACTTGCACACAAAATAGCAACACATTCACTGCATAAGTTAAATCCTAACGATGAATTTGCCATCACAATCATTCCCAAGTCTTTTGTGGAATTAAATTAGTAAATTTTATTATCTATGAAAGTCGTGTTTTTCTTGAGATATCGATATATAACTTAGCTCCCCTCTCCTCTTTGCTCAATGACAATGTGCCGAGATAAATTCTTTTAAAAGTGTGAACATCACCGATCATTAGGTTTAAATCTTACTTGATGTTTATCTGCATTTGAACTAAACAACAATGATAAAAATGATGATAATAATCAATCTTCATCCTCGACATCAAAAATAATAAAATGATAATAATAACCAATTCCCAACACCAACGCCAACACCACCAATATTTATATGCTCGTAAAGTTGTTAAAAATGGTTTCCAAACGAATAGTCCTTTGGTCCGAATGCAACATCATCAAAGGACAATTATTGAATTTCTTCACACTTTTTTAAATTATTATCCAAATAGATAATTTATATTTGTTAATTCCAGAATGCCGGTGTTAATAAATTAAAAAGATTAAAATTTTTTTCTTCATCTTGAGATTCGCCAACAATAAAACGAAATTCGGTTATGTTTAGATCATGATTGTATCAAGCTAACATCAAGGGATGGATATTATATTTGAAGAGGTATTATTATTACCATTATCTTTCATACCTCAGCAGCGATCTATAAAGGCCAAAAAACCACACATACATACATCCACTCATTTTATAATTAATGCTGACGCTATTATTCATTGATTGATTGATATTGATTATTTTTATACAGACATAGCAAAAAATATTATTCATGAGATATTACTGTTATATCAAGTGTGCATTTTTTAAAATTAAATAAAATTTCCAAAAAAATTTTTATTGTAATTAAAAAATAAACATTCCAAAAACAAATTACAACAAAAACAACACCACCGGTTTTTAAGCGATAATAATAAAAGATTTTAAATCAAAAGAGTAAAATGAGTAATTATATCAATAATAATAAGGATACATGGTATTTATATTACTAAATTTGGTAGTTTTATAATGAATTATTTTCCCAGAATTTGTGACGATCTATTCAGTTACGGTTAGACCAATTCGGTACAACGCCATAATAAAAATAATAATCTCTATTACAGAATTAATTACTATTACAAAAACAACAAAGTTCGGATATAAAATGTTACGCTGATTATTTATATTGTTTAAAGTACTCCATAAATAGAAATGGGCACAGAATGAAAACTTAGCAATTAGAAAGGGAGGTAGACAAGACTATTCAATATCAATTTTTAGAACAATGTTTTTTATTGATTATACTATTGAATTTCCAAATTTTTAAATGAATTAAAAGATTGGCCGTTGTATTATTATTATATAATAATAACCATCAATATAACGAAAAAAATGATCCGTTAAATGATCCGTTAAAGTGAGATTCTGCGTTAATAGGGGGGTTTTTTTTAATACCTTTTCAAATAATTTATCCTTTGTAAATTTTGATTGATTTTGCAAAGAAGGAAAATTTGCCTCATTTTAATATATTTTAATGAAAATTTTAAAAATCATGAAATTAAATTTCAAGAAACAACAAGATTAATGATGATCATCCATCAATAACTAATAGTCTATCAAATGGCAACTACCATGATATACTCGTGTTGTGGCCGAAATTACCTTTCTTAATATTAATATGAAATTGCTTTTTTTTTTTAAGAAATAATTTCACTCACCAATACTAATACTAATCTGGACATTGCAAATCGAATATGGTTCTGTTTACAGAAGAAGAAACGATTGGTTTTATGGTTATGATACTGACTTCCCAAATCACATAAAGATTAAGCTTATTAGAATTATTTGATTTTGCTTTTTAAGAATTAAAAACTAGAGATAATTGTCTTCAATTTATCCTTTTATCAATTCACTCGTACTCGATGATTATCTATCAGTAAATATAATAACTGTAACAGACGATTATCTGGACAATATTAGCAATTATCTTCAAAGGAGGACATCAAATATTCCGGAGGAAATTTTGCTTTTAGTCCCTTTATTGACTTTGTATATTTATCTGAATACATAAAATACATTATCAATATTTTTTATGTAAAAGTTTTGCAATAGAACCTCAACCAAGGATGACAGACTTTTGTCTTCTTGCTCATTCTGGATGGAGAAAATCAAAAAATAATAAAATTATTGAGTACAGGACCTTTTTAAATCTATTTGATAATATAGTACCAGATTGTTTTGTATTTTGTTTCTGGAGACCATTTTGATGAATACAAACAAACATATCAGTTGTGGAACATTTTGAAGATGTTTTTTATATTGGTGAGATCCGATGTATATATAGTGTGCTCAAAGAACATTTACCGGGATTCAACGAATCATCCATTGAACATTTTCATAGCTTGATCTGCTGACGAAAATTTTATTATGACGACAATAAGCATAATTGGAACCGTTTATATCTAAATTAAAAAAAAAAGAATCTTGGTGATATGATTAAAATATTTAAAATATACACCAAAAAAAAGATGATGATTTTGTTTGTTTCCAATGTTCGATATAAAAGGATGGTGGTTACATTATCGACTCCCCAGTTTTGTTTCCTGCCGTGATCACGAAAATTGTGAAATAATGATGACAATTGCGTATTAATTTATGGTTGAACGTGATTATTCACTGAGTATTTAGAAATACAATAAATAATAGATTAGACATCTATATTAAATAAGGAGATACCATTAGATAAGTATTAATAATTTAGAGAATTAATTTAAGGAACATGTAAATTAAAGCCGTGATGATTTGTGTAGCGCAAAATGTGATTGTGATAAATAAATACTTGTTTTTCAAATTTTTGCCAAATAAAAATTAAAAACAATTAAAAAAAAAATTTTTTTATTTATTTGTTTTTTTTATTTTTTTTAAAATTTGATTATAAAATTTTTTTGATTGTTTTTACATATTTTCTCTAAAAAAAAAAAAAAGATATTTATAGATAAAGAAAAAAAGAGGGTGAAAACTGTCAATAACAATAATAATTATAATATGTAAAAGGATAAATTAAATTATATTTGAGGCAAAATAATTTTAATTACATAATAATAATAATTTAATTATTTTCTAATTAATCCTATTATTTATTTATTTATGCATTGTTGAAATGGAGATGATAAAATATTTTATTTTGCAGTATTCTTCTTTATATTTATATATATATATATATAAGATAACAATGATGATGATATATATATATAAAGATCATAAAAATTTATTTTTTTTTAGAAAAATTTAATTACAAAGACAACAAACAAAAAAAATTCTAATATTAATATATTATGATTATTATAATTATTGCTGGTAATTAATAGTAAATTGTTCTTTTTTTTTTAATGATAAAATTTTAACAAAGTTCACCGTAATCATAAGTCGTTTGATCCGTTGTTGTAGATGAAGAGTTATTGTTACTAGAATTATTACTACTGGTAGAATTATTACTACTAGCGTTTGTTATTGTTGTTGGCGGTAATCTTGAAGTAGTCAGTCTAGTAGAATCATATCTTCCTGCTATAGGAGATAATATTCGATAAAATGAACCACCAGCACTATTACCACCATGATGGTTATTAGCACTACCACCATTGCTACTTGAATCTAAACCATCATCACTACTATCAAATAAACTAGGTACAAAATCTGGAATGACCGAGTAAAAGTCATCAATAAATGAACGATAATTATGTATTGTATTGAGACGTCTTGGTAATGGAGGTAATGGAGGTAACGGTTGATAATCTAGTGATAAAGGTCCAAAAGATAAGTTATATGATGATGATGACGACGATGACGACGGTGACGACGATGATGTAGTTGTACTATTGTTGTTGTTATTACTGTTGTTATTATTGTTGTTGTTATTGATTGTATTATTATTATTTGAATTGTTTGTACGATGAGTTGATCCAACTAAATCTATACCACGTAGAGTTAAATAATCATCTCTTGAAGGATAAGACGATCTAGAAGAGGATCTACCACTATTACTGCTGCTGTGATGGTGAGATGATCTGTGATGATGTCTAGATGATCTCAATAACCTGTTATCATGTTGAGCTAATTGACGAAGTAAATTAACTCGTCTAATAACATTATCCAAAGCAATAGACGATGTTGAATTTGATGATATCGTTGGTGGTTGTGGTGATTGTGACTGTGATTGTGAAGATCTTCTTGTCGTTGATGATGATGGTGATGATGTTGTTGATGATGACGATGATGATGATGATGACGTAGTGTTATTCTCGTTATTATTATTATTATTATTTAAATATTCATGATGACCGCCTTGTGAGCTTTCATTAGTTGTAGAAATATTATCGTTAGGAATAAAATCTAAAAAATCCTCGATACTTAAAATATCTTGTAAATCATCATTAATAGAAGGAGTGTTGTTATTATTATCATCGCTACTACTAATACTACCATTACCATGACGTGATTGTTCAGAAGAACGTTGTTGTTGAGCAGATATTTGAGCAGCAGTCATTTGAGCAGCAGATATTTGAGCACGAGCAAGACTTAACAAACGAGCACGTCTACTGGACAAATTGGAAGAATTGCTATTGCTATTGCTGTTGCTGTTGCTGCTGCTGCTGTTGTTATTGTTATTATTATTTCTTGTGGTACGGTGAAGTTGATGAAGACGTTGAAAATGTTGTTGAACTAAATTATATGGTAAAGGGTATGGTCTTCTAAATCTCTGTCTTGGTATTTGATGATGGTCATTGAAAACAATAAAGTTATTATTATTTGCAGTAGATGGTGATGATGATGTAGAAGAATTTTGATGAGGTGGTGGTATTGGTTGTTGAGTACTGGAAGTTCTAGGGTGAGACCATTCAGGAAATTCTGTTTGTTGATTTGTGTATATATATAATAACAATAAGATTAATAAGATTATTAATTTGACTGTTAAGATTATTAAAATTATTACCATTATCAGCTATTACTACTATCAACTATTATTAAACTTTCTATATATCTATAAAAAATCAATAATAACTAACGATTACCAACCAAATAAACTTGCCCTTGAGTTTTGAAAATCATCGTTGCCGAAAGCCATTTCATCAAAAGTTGATGAATATGAAGGTGATTGTGGAGATTGTTTTGGTGGTATCTGTCTTTTTGACAAAGGTGGAGATACGAACATAGGTAAACCCATATTTATTTAATATGTTATTGATTATTAAAAATGGTAGGAATTTTATATTATTTTTATTTTTGATGATAGATTTGATGATGATTTTTTTTTATTTAAAAAAAAAAGAGATTTTTTGAAAGAAAAAATTTTTTAAAAAAGTCTAAAAAAAAAAGGAAGTAAATAAATATTTAAATAAATATTTTTATTATTGAAAAAAAAAGGAAAAATTTTTTATTATTATATACGTTTCAGTTTATATATTATTATTTATATATAAGTTATCCTGTTATTGTAAGTAGTATAAAAAAGATTAAAAAGTATATAATAAATGTGTGGGTAAGTTATTATTGTTAAAAATAATAATAATTACAATTATTAATATTCATTCAATAACAAATAATAATGATAATAAAAAAAAACCTCTGAGAAAAAAAAAAAAGATTTTGGGTGATGAAAATTTTTTTTTTAAATTTTCAATTTTAGGGACGACTCTAACAAATACCGTGGTTACACATAAATCATATATGATATATGTACATATGGGCGGATTTTATCATGCAATACAAGCAAGTAAATATATATATGAATTTTTTAACAGCATATAATAACGAAAATATTTGTCTATTATATATAATAACCCTCCGATCTTTGCAATAATCATTTTTAGCTTTCAAAGAAAACGTCATTCATTACATATTAATATATTTTGAAATTGGGGCCTTTAAACTATTCGTGTTACAACAAAAATTTGACCCATATGCGTTACTTTGAATGGAGGTGGCACAGCAGTTTAACCTCTGGACCTTTTTGCAGTATACCCCATATTATTATTAGAGATTTTCATTCGATTTTTCTTTTTTTATTTGTTTGTTTTTTTTTGAATACATAAATTTTTATTGGATGTGTATAAATATATGTTTGTAATATTTATTTTCCAGCCTTAATATTCTCAATAATTATCGTTAAAAAATCACCCGCCAAAAATCAATTTTATTTATTTATACAGCAGTTATAATTTTAAATCCGAAAAAACTGATTTTTTTAGTAATTTTAATAATAATAACCTTTCTACATAAACGAACTCGCATTTTTATATTTGTTATAAGTCCAAAATCAACAACCAATTCATGCAGCTCATTTTAAAAAAATAGTAGTTATATTGGTGGTTGGTGGTATTAGCAGTAGTAATAGTAATATCATGAAAAAAGCGGTTTTTTTTTTTGATTTTCAAAAATCTGCAAATTTTTGTCTTGTATTTATACCACAATTTATCGGTATTTGATCACACGCAGTAAACAAGTTTTCTGTAATAACGTGCGTTCAATAACCAATCTGATTAATTAATTAATTTCCGTTTAATTCCGAAATAATATCTATTTACTATATATACATTATATTAATAGTAAAAATATTATTAATTATATTTAATTAACTACTACGCATGATAAATCCCATTATTCTAAATGAATAAAAAATAATAATACAACATGGTTAATTATGTACTACCACGCAAACAACAATAAAAAAAAGTGTTATTTTTTTGATTTATTTTTATTTTTATCCAAGATTTTAAAAATGTTACCAACATCAAATAATAATAACCCACAAGAAATTGAAACCGCTGAAAATACACCTTTATTATTATCCTCTTCAACCAACGACAATGTCATAAATAATAACGATGTGTTGGAAGATATTGCATTATTACAACAAGAGGATGATCAGCAAAATAAGATTTTGGACTTTCATGAGAGTGTCTTTGTAACAAAGAAAGCTATCCCTGTATCATTAACTTATATACTACAGTACTCTTTACAAGTCGCTAGTGTTTTCTCACTAGGACATTTGGTAAAATTTTTTTTTTTATTTAATTTTTATTTATAGATCTATCACCTAATCTATTAATTGTTATTGTTAGGGATCAATTGAATTAGCTGCTTCTGCTTTAGGATCAATGGTATAACTTTCTTTCTCCCATATATTTGCTGATTTTTTTGTTATATTGAATCAAAAATATTATTAAATTACATTAAATATATAAAATATATAGTATGCAACAGTAACAGGATGGTCAGTTTTATTTGGTGCAGCTACTGCTCTAGATACACTTGCTTCTCAAGCTTACACATCTGGAAATCCTAAAATGGTAGGTGTGTTTTTACAACGCGGATTAGCAATCATACTATTGGGTTTTATCCCAATTGCTGTGTCCTGGTGGGAGGCAGAACGAATACTGGTCTTTTTGGGCCAAGATCATGAAATTGCTCGACTGTCTGCCTTATTCACAAGATATTTATTGATTGGTGCTCCTGCTTTATTGTCTTTCGAAGCTTTAAAAAAATATTTACAAGCTCAAGGTAATTAATTGATCAGTTGATTGATTGAAAAATTGAAAAAAGATAATGTTTATCTAATATTTAAATATTATTGTTATTAATTGATAGGAATTATGAAGGCCAGCACATATGTTTTAATAATATGTTCTCCAATAAATATAATATTGAACTATGCTTTAGTTTGGTATCCACCTGTATCACTTGGATTTATTGGTGCTCCTTTTGCAACCTCAATAACCTATTGGCTGATGCTAATTCTGATAATAATCTACATCAAATATTTTAATGGTTATCAAGTATGGGGTGGTTGGACTTACATGGCTTTTCATGATTGGTTACCTTTTCTTAAATTGGCTTTGCCTGGTGTCATAATGGTTTGTGCTGAATGGTGGGCATTTGAATTAGCAGGTACAATTATTTATCTAATTGAAATGGAATAATTCATTAATTATAATAATAGTAATTATATAATTAATAATCAATAATTTGGGGGTTTTAAGCTCTTGCTGCAGGTTATCTTGGTAGTATTGCTTTGGCAGCTCAAAGTATAGTTTTAACAACTGCCTGTCTATTTTATCAAATTCCATTTGGTATTGCTGTTTCTAGTTCAAATCGTGTTGGTAACTTATTAGGTGCTGGTTTAGGTAGTAGAGCAAGACTTGCATCAAATGTCTCTTTAGTATTGGCTGTTCTTGTTTCTATGTTTAATTCTATTATCTTGTTACTTCTAAAAGATTCATGGGGGTAAATATATATACATGTATTTGTGCATTGTATATGTTGTGTATTAAAAATTTATTTTTCATTGATTAAACTAAATATCCCATTCATCTCATAGATATCTATTTACAGAAGATAAAGAAGTTATAGATTTAGTTAGTTCAATATTACCATTATGTGCCTGTTTCCAAATTTCAGATGCAATTTCTGCTGTTGGTGGTGGAATTCTTCGTGGCCAAGGCCGTCAAAAAATAGGTGCCTATCTAAATTTGCCTGTTTACTACTTGATAGCATTTCCAGTTGGCACATTATTAGCTTTTAAATATCATTGGGGTCTCAAAGGTCTTTGGTTTGGATTGGCAATTGCATCATTGTCTGTAGGTGTTGGTATTATTATTGCTATTTTGTGTACTGATTGGCAATATGAAGTTGAAAAAGTTAAACTTAGAGTAAAAGATTCTGAAGAACAAGAACAACAGCAACAGCAACTTTTAATTAGTAATGATCCAACTTTAAATCATAACAATTATGGCAGTGTTGAAGAAGTTGTTGTTGTTAAATAATTTAATTAATTGGTGGCAGATAATTGTTTTGATTCACTAATAAAATAATTTTCCAATTGATAGATTTACATTTTACTCATCATATTTTTCTATATAGACTATATAGGCAAATAAACACATAAATCATCATACAAGTATTAATGATTCTATTATTCAATTTTGATCTAATTACATCTTTGATAAATTTACATATTTATGTATAATATTCACTATGCAAATTTTGGTGCATGTGATTGACCAAGATTTAAATGCCCTAAAATTGTGACTATAGTGCAGATCATCTATAATTCTATAATCAATTTAATTGCTTATAGTAACAATTGGTCAGCTTCAAAATACTAAAACAAAATTTTTTTTATATCATTTAAAAAAGTTAACCAATAATTTTTTTGTTGTTAATGACTCAAGTTTCAAAACTTTATTGGCTAGCTTTTTCTTAAACTAAAAATTGGCAGAGTCTTAGCATTTTGAAAATTCTAAATTTTGTTATATACACTTGAGAAATTGAGACTAAGTTTTGTGTAACAATTTTTTTCATATATAGAATATTTTCTTTGGCATATATTGATTTATTTGTATTATCTATTTTCTTTTTTTTATTAATAATAAAGCTCTTACAATAAAAAAAGTTTAACAAACATACAGTCAACCCTATCTAAGTGCACCCTCTTTGGAATGAGTAATAGTGATAGAAATACTACTGTCATTATTATCTATTATTAACAAAAAAATTTTATATTCATAATTATTGATTAAGATAAGATTCCATTGTAGGCAATTAAATTTATTATTAATAAGAGATGATAAAGAATTATTTTGTAACAAGCAAGTAAAGAATTGTTCACTTTATTAGGTGACAGGAGAATAAAGAATTCTTTCTTTTTAATAGATACAAAGATTAGAACAAAAGAACAAAAAGCACAGAAGTTCATGTAGTTAAAATTATTGTAAATAAGACATGAATCAAAAATTTTATTTCATTAAAAAATAAAACTTCTATTATAAATTCTAACTGGTTAATTTTCTTGATAGATATATTAGTTTAAAAACAATAAATACAATAAGGCAAAGAATTCATCTATCAATCAGAGCAAATGATCTGCATTTAGTAGTAAAATGTGGGGTTAATAAAACATAAAATTAGATAATTTCATAAATCTCAATTTCCTCACAATTAACTTATGATGTCTTCACAAAACATAAACCTCAACTTATTGCTGTTGGTAACTTGTTCAACACTTCATTGTGACATATTTGCTGTAAACTAGATGGACTTTCAATAATTGAAAAAATGCCTGAAGAAGAAAAACAAACATGTGTTCCTATATGTTTAAATATGAGTGTTCAATTAGAACTCAATGAGACAAAATTTATTATTCATGCTGTTAATAGAAATAATAATACTTCTTTTTGAATTCACTTTTTCCTGCTAGATCTCCTGCCCTACAAAAAGTTTAGATGCTTAAATATACTTGAAAGTGCTTAAAATGTGCTTAAAACATACCTTTTTTAATAATGAACAAAATTAAGTATGTTTTAAGTAACCTTTTAAGTGTATTTTAAGTGTATTTCAAGTATGCTAGTTTACCATAAAAAGTATGTTTAAAGTATATTTTAAATATATAGTATATTTTAAGTGTGTTTTGAGTATAATTTCATATACTTAAAACATACTTAAATTCACTTAAAATGTTCTTGTTCTCTTCCATCAGTAAATTTTAAGTATATGGTGTATATTTTAAGTGCATTTTAAGTATCTAAACTTTGTGTAGGGCTGTAATATCTGACTCACAAATATAGCCTGGCCTGCAATGAATTTGAAATTATAAAAAAAAAATTTTTGGAATTTTATTCTATCAAATCTCACTTTCCTCTATAACAAAGCATTCTGAAATTTTATTTGATTACAAAAATTTTTTTGTCTTTTTAATAACCAGGTTTTATTTTATTCTTTCACATGATTTTTTTAAAAGTTACATATTGTATAAGTGCTAATTTTTCATGATGATTCTTATGTATGTAGAAGTTTTTATATGATGATCACCCCAAAATTTATTTAATAAAATCAGCAATTAATTAATTATTTATTTATTTTTGTTACACAACAAAGGAAAAATCAATGTCTATCACACCATTTTCATTGGGTAATTATCACGTGAATTCATGGGTGTGCATTTAGAGGGGGAGTTTTGTGTAGATGGGAATGAAAAAAGACCATGCAGTGCAGGGGGAAGAGGGTGTGAATTTATCTCTAATCCCCAAGCTTTGAAATGAATGAGATCATGCATTTAGAGAGGGTGCACTTAGGGGGGTTGACTATACATGCAGCCCAAATTGGTTTGGTGATTTCAATGGTCAAAATTATTTCAATTTTGATGGTAGAAAGTAGAAATTAATTATGGCACTCATTATTAAAAACATAAGTGTAATGCCCCTTTACAACAGTGTCAAAATACTTTGGGCTGCATGTATGGACAAGTAGCTAAATTAGACTTGATATTTCCTTCCAGCTCTCTTGAAAAAATTTACAAAATTAGGAAAAATGCTTAAAGAAATTAAGAGCAAGTATGAGAATTATATAAACAATGCTTATCAACATGAATTTGAGAGAGGATATTTAACTCCAGAACGTAATATTAGCAATGTCAGTGATATTCATATCATTGATACTAATGAAATAACTCCTAAAAAAATCCTGCTAGATGAAAAAAAACATTAACGCAAGTCACAACAATTATTGCATTGCTTTTTATGATTAAGTATTATAATAATTAATTGACGATCCGTCTATGAATGAGTGAGCTCTAGATAGGGATCGGAGGAGGAAAAATGTCACAAATTTCACCAATTGACGTCCTTGTATAAAAAAAATGGTACTATACTTTAGTATTATAAAATCATATTTTTTGATTTTAGGTTATGAAACAAATGTCAAAGAACATATTTATGTATTTTTTTTTAAGAATATTGAAAAAAAAAGGGTTTACTTTTGGGATGTAGAGATGAGAGATTTTTCATATATAAAAAAGTTTTTACGTTTGTGTAATAACAACAAAAAAATATAAATTATTCACTATAATTAATCAATTTGAGTATTCAATGGATTGAAATAAAACAGATGAACAAATAAAATATAATTAAGATTGAACAAAGAATTGTGTTATGAATAGAAACACTGTTTTTGAAACTCCGAAACTATTTCAAATTCCGAAACTATTAAATTCCGAAACTGTTTTTAAATTCCAAAATTCAAAACCAAAAATGAAATCGTAAAATTTTTTTTCATTTAAATTTTATCACATGACGGGGATGTGGAATATATTTTTGCAGATCATTATATATTTCCTTCAGTTTTTAATATATAGTAAAAAGATAGACGGATCGTCAATTAAATTAATGCCTTTTTTCAAACAAAGGTCTGCAAAAAAAATTTTTTGAACTCTGCAATTTATGTTAACTTTGTCTGGTTTTGCTGCAGTATGCCTCATTTAAAATACATCTTAATTTAAAACTTTATGTTGATACAGTTTTAATAAAGAAAAAAATGAAAAAAACAGTTTTATTTATTATATTTATTTTTATATATATGCTTACCCTTATTTGTTGAATATTTGTTCAAAAATATGATTTGAATTTGATTTCATTATTGTTATATTTGATGAGAGCAATGCATTCTAAAGTTCTTTATATTAAACATGTATAAGAATTTTATAAAACTATGGCTCTTGTATATGTGTATTTTAATCTCAATAAAAGTATGATATGTTTGTATTAAAATCATCTAAATAGTTCTTTTGACCATAAATAATAAATGTTTCGCAAATTCACACTTGAATTGTTAGTTACCCCGGTAACACTATTTCCGATTAATAATCAAGTCATAAACTGATTCAAGTGCTCGATATTTATTTTTGTTAAATTGTTTTTATATATATGATCATTTACCTAATTTCTGATATGGTTTTCTAATTATTATACAAAATATTAACTTCCTGGGATTTTTATTTGAATTTTATGTATATTTGAATTGTTTTTCATATCTGATTTAAAAGATCTGATAAAAAATTTAGAAACAATCTTTAATAATGTTTTTCATATCAATTAACAAAGATAATATTCAATAAATGATTTAAATGTTCCTTTATGAATTTCCTGATGCTTGTCACCAATATTGATTGCTTTAGTTCACATGTTTCTGGGTAAGTATGTCGAACAAGCATGTTAAAGTACTAGTAGATGGTCTTTTTATTATATCTAGAAAAAAATAATAAAAAATGAATAAATAAATCAATACAACGAAATTAAACACCTTGCATATGAATTTCCTAATTTTTGTTAGAAGCATGCTTTGAACAAATCACAGATTATCGACAGATTATGAAAAGGCAAGTTTAGTACTATTTATCTCAATAACGAATTAATTTTTTTTTTAAAAAAAAAAATAACATCTTGTAAATTCATTTGTATATGAGTGGGATCTGATCGACATACCGATAGGGTAAAAAAACCCAGACTGTGCATTGCTAGCCTGACTTTTATATAACGTGATTATTCATTATATATATGTCGTCTGTATATATATCATTGAGGAAGATTATGTTGGAGAATAGAAATATAATTATTAATCTTTTTTAGTTTTTTAGGAGTTATGATTATCTTTTTTTGATTAGATTATTTCATATCTATTTATTTATTTATTATCAATTATTTACTATAAATTTTTATACTAATACATAATCATAACGCACACACATACATATCTTATTATTTATTTCTAATTCCCATTATTTGATTAATTGATGATAGTACGCAAACAATTGTACAACAAAAATAAAATAAATAATATATAAAGTTTATGGATGTTTTTTTTTTTTTTATTTTTATCTCATCAAAAAAAATATATATATATTTTAAAAAAAAATAAACAAATAAATAAAGTTTTTTTTTAAAATTATTTTTTTTATATTTTTAACTATTCTCGCTCGTGCTCATTCATTCATTAAAATTCAATCCCTTGGAAATTCTCTCGTTTAAAGAAAAATCGAATAAATCAACGAGTACAATGTGTCCAGAACCTGTTAACAATTCTAAAATATCTAGAAAAAAGGTATTATCAACAACACGAAAAGGCAATAACATTAATAATAATAATAATAATAATAGTAATAGTAATAGTAATAGTAATAATAATAATAGCAATAGTAATAGTAATGCTATTATTATCTCGTGTCGTCGGAAATCCTTCAAATCTTCTTTATCAATAGCGGCAGCAAATAATAATGGCAATAATGGTGATGGTAGTGATAGAAATAACAATAGTAAGAATAATAATAATAGGAGGAATAATAATAATGGTACAATAACAATCATTAGAAAAACCTCCAACACCAAAAGATTGTTACCGGCACCAACAATTATTATTTCCCCATCTTTGGCGACGGCGATGACGACGACGAAATCAACAAAAATAATAATACCAGTATATTTTCTACCAACAATAATTAATCGTTCCTTAAACATTTTATTAAAAAGATTTTTAGAAATCTTATCATCTTCTTTATTAATTAACAAAAATTATCAAAAATCCTCCACCCTCACCCCCACTTCCACGACCAACCACAACCACAACCAACATTATCATCAATCAATAATACAATATAGTACGTTACTAATCGAACTAGTAATTGACAAAATCTTACCTTCTATTTTACCTATTTTTTTATCACAGAGAATCGGCGGCCGTATTTTTTTTTCAAAATTGTTGATTTTATTAT